ATGGAGAATATGCATATTGATGTTAGGGTGTAAAGGGTTAATGGTACCCTGCAAGAGACAATACTCATCTGCCCTACATTAATCCTTTTTACCCTAACAATTTCCTCTAACCAGGGGTGATCTTGTAAGGAGAAATTAGATGCTGGTCACTCTTAGGGGCTCAAAGGGTTGAAAAAAGCACAAAATTTTTGACATCTTGACTCATTTCTTTTCTTTCTTTTTTTTATTTTCAGAATCATCTAGTGAATTGTTGTTTTGCAGAAAGTGGTTTCTAAACTTTTTTTCAATACACCATTAGTTTATTATCCCAGAGCAAGTAGAAATACAAAGAATCCAAAGAAAATTCCTGCATTTGATTTACAATGTTTTGGGGTAAGTTTTGTCTGATATGGAGTTTTTTTTATAATGTTGTCCCCAAGAATTCAGAAGTTTTAAAACTGGTAAAAGCTTCCTAAATGTTTCTCCTGTTGCTAGATTAGGACTTATTTCTGTCAGGAAATCACTATATCATTGTAATCCAATTAATTTAATTAGGGCATGTGAGTTTATAATTGAATTGTTTCTGCAATGCACATGTCTAATACTTTCCTGTTTGAGCGACACAATATTTATGTAGATGAATCTTAGTGATTTGCAATTCTTTAATCGGAGAACACAAAATTTCATAGTCCGAGCTTGAAAAAAAGTCAATAGGCGTACCATGCCCAATAGCCGTGATTTTTTCTGTAATTGCCATAGCGACAAAAGAGTAAACTTTTTAAACATTCGAATGTATCTAAAAATAACAGCTTGTTTTGGTTCGACCTTGATATTGTAGGATCGCAAATGAGTGTGAAATTTATCATGTCAATTTCTGTTTCGTACCGGTACTTAGGGAAAGAATTTTACATCCTTGTTAAAAAATTATTTCGAAAAACGCAAGTAAATAATGCATAGAAGAGTAACTAAGTGTAGCCGTGTGTAAGCTATGCAGATTTGTAAAATATAAACAGTGTGGTACATAAATTAACGATTGTCGAAGAAAGCTCCTCCCCCAATTCTGTTTATTACAAAACGAAGTTCAAGCCTCAAGGGAGTACTCAACCATACGACATCTCATCGGTTTGATCACTATCGTGGACGGTTCATTGAAGCCAAAAAAAAATCTTCCTCCTTCCAAAGAGCCGTGCTAATTTTGAAGACAAGAGGTACTTGAAAGGAGAGAAATATCAGGGGTAGTTCGGCTGATAACAGCGGAAACAGGTAAAAAAGAAATCAAAATCAAACGAGCGAATATTTATAAAGAGCGTGCTGTGTAGTTGACAAAACAAAAAGCCCTTAGGCTGAAAAGGCATTGAAGCAAAAGTTACGGCGAAAAAGAGCTTCGTTTGGAATGTTTCACTTCATCAACAGCCGTTTACCTGACAATTCTGTGCTCAAATTCCACCCACAGCCGGCACTGACGAAAAAAAGCTGTTCAAGATTCCTGCAGCGCTGATACCAGATTTCGGAGTACCATGCCGTTAGCAAAGAAAGCCCCCAAGAATGACGTTAGTAAGTAGAAGAATTTTGTCGCATTTTTTGGTTGTTAAAATAGTTACTGTTGTCCTTGAACGATACTGAGAAGGAAATGGCTATTTGTAACTTAAGTAGACATGATGTAACGAGCGGTTGTTCGATGGAATTCGATTGAAAACCAAGCGCAGTAAACATAAATTGCATTCCAGAAGTGAACGCAAGTGCTTTTGACGTCAATTCGATCTCAAAGCAACCGCGCGTGTTGAGAATACTGATACTATTGCTCTTCTATCAAAAATTACTTCGTGCGTAACGGAGTTTCCCATTCGAGAAGTTTAATGCGAAAAAGATCCTCTTTCCACTTCACCTTACTGTTTCCACATTCTTTATTCACACAATAAATACTCTTAAAGTTCATTGTACTTATTTGTGAGCTATTTGCCGCCGGAATTCCTAAATGGCTTCTTCATGATCAAGGATTTTAAAGGTCATTTCGTGGTAGACAGTAACAAGTAACTTTTAAGAACCAGAAAGCGATTTTAATCGGTTTAAGAATTAAAGGTACTTGAATTGTATTTCAGAAAGTGTTAGTGGTTTTACATTGCGCGCTGTCGAGGTCTGCCTTTACTCAGGAAATATTTTAGTGTTGATTGATTGAGAGAAAATTTATGAGACGATTCTGGATAAGATTTATTACTTATCTCCAGATGATACCCTTAATAGTAATAATCTGTGACTTAAATTAAATTTTCCAAGGTAAAGCCATAAATATTTTTTTACATTTCACATTTAAGGGTTTTTTGCTTAATAATTGTGACATAAATGTTTAGAGAAGTTGTTGCTTGGTTGACATTTTTATTTTGAGATAGGGAGTAGAAGGGGTGGGGTTGGTACATGAGACATGGTTCACTTCTCAGATGTGAGTGCTAATAAAATTTCCTTTCGATTTCGATTTATCATATACCAAAAGAGGATGACAGTTCCGTATCATTGATGCAGTGATTATAGAGATACACGTGTTCTGATTGGTCGGGATTGCTTCATATCTTGCTATAATCATCTCGTGCCTGGTGATTGTGTTCAAAGCAGCTGCCTAGCGTTTTGTTAGTGTTACCAAGGAAGTGATAAATGTGCTAGAGGAGAATCCAATTTAGAAGTGCACTTAAGATGCTACTAAGTTTTTTGTAACACTTTCCGAAAGAAAAATATATAGTTTTTGCTGATTGAATTAAATAAACCTGTTAAATTATGGTGGAAACTGGCTGCTTATCTCAATGTTAGTTATCAAAACTTTTTTAACAGAATGTTTTTAACAACACAATAAAGTTACATCAAAATTCAAAGGTACCTGAACAATCACTAAAACAATTGTTCACCTCAGGCTCCGTAAATATCATTGAATAATCCCCTTGATTTTGTCTCACAATCATTGAACACACTTTGCCTTCTGCAAATAATTTTTGATTAAGAGTAGCTAGCACAGTGTCATTGGGCCATGGATTTTGAAGACTGCTGCCAAATGAAATCAATTTTATGAGGTAGAGAGAGGAACCCTTATAGCATGCCGAACCTTTTAACTCCCAGAAGTGACTAACATGTAATTTTTCCCTATAATATTCACACATGAACCAGCAAATATTCTTATCAGTAGAAGGCAATATCTTGATGTGTCCTTTATAACGATGCATCCATGCAAAAGCTATATAGCTTCAGTTGTGTTTCCATGTTTTTCTTTTTGTCTGGTGCAAAGTAATTAAAAAGGAAAAAGGACTTTCAGTATTGTGTAAACACCTTGGCCATGCTTTTATCCCATATAACAAATGACCAACAGATAACTTCTCCCAATAATATCCATACCTTATCCAGCAAACAGGTGGTGAGAATACTCAAACTTATCAGGTAGAAAATGATTTCATGATCTAAGACCAAATTCTCATAGCTAAGTTACAAAGAAATGTGTAGCAGCTAGAGGTGAGAATTCATAATCAGATCTTGGGAGTTAAAGGTGTAAGGATACTTGATAGCCATGTCTCACTTTTTCTGGAAATGCTTCAGAGTTACAAAATGATTTTTCTTCAAAGACATGAAATGATGACTGAGCGATATAGCTGGAAAAGAGGATAAGTTGGGGAAATGTTGTTCCCTGTGTTCAATGCCAAACTGAAATATTTTTCATGGAAAACATGCTCCAAGGCGCTCATTCATGTTATCCTTGTGGCACCCTTGGTTAACCCTCAAACTGCCAGAAGTGATTGACATGTAAATTCTTCTTATGATAACTCTACATTCTCCTGCAAACAGGAAATGAGAATACTCAGACTTATTAGGTAGAAGTAGTTAACTTGACCTAACACCAAAATTGTCATAAGATATTTGCAAGGAAGGATGTAGCAGCTAGAGGGGAGAATTAACAATCAAATCTTGTGAGTTTAAAACTCTTAAGTTTTACATCAATGTTTTATTTTTATCACTGTAGTATTTCAGAATTGTTAGGAATTGTCCATGAATTAGCTTAAACTTAAAGCACTAGCAGATAATTCCTTTGAGTACTAGTGCTTCTCATGACAAACTATATGTATATGGACTAAAATGTCTGAGTGGAATTTGGTGTTGTGACAAAAAGCCAATGCCAAGTTGCTGTTAATCATTCCAATTTTACCCTAAACGCTTGATTGGGGAAATTATTCATTTGTTACAAAAGCAATCAGAATTTCTCAAAAAATAATGCTTTGTTCCATCTAGATAACACAACTAGCCAATTAAAAAAAGTAGACTTCTGTGTCATCACTTTGGTAGCTAGTGAAAGCTTTTCTCTTGCTCCATGGAAAGTAAGACTGGAAAAGTTGAACAGTACAGTTTTTTTTTACTAACATTATCATGCTAATAAGTGGTGTCATTTCCACAAGACAAGCTCTTGGGATGAAAAGATTTCCATGAACTTAAAAAAAAACTCAAGCAAAATGTATAGGATATGCACTTGCCTCACAACCCATCCTTAGATGTGTCATGTAATTATATGGAACAATGTGACAGGTAAAGAGAGGGTATTTCAGGTTTTCCAAATGTTGTCTTTTAAGTGCTCATGAATAATAATTTAAAAAGTGGGTACAACTCCCTTAAAAAGAACAATCTTAAACATGACTGTCATCTTATATTTTAAGTGTAATACTAAACTTATGGCGATAGTTGAAGTTCATTTTTGAATTGGAAAATACATTTTATTGGAAAATAATTTATTAGACATCTTAGCTCAAACTATGATAGCTTGTCTTATTCAGCATTCCCACTTTATTTTTTAATGATCTTTTTAAAACTATATTCGGGAAAAAAAAATCATCATTTTTTGTAGCTTCATTCATATTAAAATGTGATGATATTCGTCTTAAAAATCCTTGGTTAACCCTGTTAATTTGGGTACATGGTAGATGGAAAATTCCACTGTCTTATTATTGAGTTTTTAGTCAACAAAATAGTTTTCCCCATAAATAAACCATTACCTAGACCTAATGACTCGTCAAACTGGTGAAATTAAAGAATCGATGATGCATTTTTCATCATTCGGCGTCAATCTTTGAACAAATTGAACCCAAACCTTCCTAGAATTTATGTGGCAATTCTCCTCCGCTTCTGTTTCGTTCAGCTGGACATTGCCGAAAATCTCCATATTTAGATGTTTCCGATTGTTTCGTTTACAGCCGACCAATGAAAACGCGTCGTTGTGAAAACGGAAAACGTCACTAGTAGGTCTATCTTTTCGCCAGAAGGTCGTCTGTTTCTTTGATACCAGCTAGAGCGGAAAATACTGAACAAGATCGCGAGTCATTTTAGGCAGATTTGTGTGTTGGGTATCAATATTTTTCATCGTGACGAGAGCTTTAAAGAAGCTTTCACAAGAGGTCGCCCTTTGAGAGATGGGCAACACTCCGACAAAGAGAGGAGACCCAGAAAATGGTATAATAAATTTAGCGGGGGCATCTGTTGTTATACTCAACCAAGCGAAAAAACCTTAATGTTTTGTTTTCGTTTCTTGTCTTTAAGTAAAAGCTTTCCTGACCGAGGCCAAAGAGGAGTTCAATCAAAAATGGGACCATCCCTCTCAGGTGAGCAATTTCTTCTTTATTCAGTTAATTATACAGTCACATCTTCGTTCGGTTTCAACTAAAATATATTCACCTTTTTCGTGTACGCTTTTGTTGGGTGAGACTTGCAAATTATTTTAAACGGTGTTCTGTTCTTGAGAGATCGTGTTACGAACAATTGTGCTTGATTTCTTGGCGTGCTCAAAGCAGAACAGTATAATTTTAAGTTTTTTGTATTTTGCAGACCTAAACGTGGTTTTCTCACAAGAGTATATTTTCTTTGTTGATTTTCCATGTCTTTCATGTCATTTCTGTTTGATGCATTCAGAATACGGCTAGTTTGGAGGACTTCGAGCGATTGAAGACCCTGGGTACCGGATCATTTGGTCGGGTTATGCTCGTTCAACATAAGAGCAGCAACAAATTTTATGCTATGAAAATTTTAGATAAACAGAAGGTAATTTTAGATTTATTCAGATGCATGTAAGCTTATTTTGTAAGGGAGCTGTGTGAGGATTAGTTTTCGAGAGACTGATTGACAGTGGTATATGTTTAACTTGCGCGAAAATTCAGCGTTACGAATCGTCACTTCTCATTTTGTACATTTATCATTGCCGTTGATTCTTTTAACTGGTCCCTAAATCACTCTGCTTTATCAGACAAATGCGTCTGTGATGCTCACAAATTTCAGTCCGTCATGTGAAATGTACAGTGTAAGTTGTTAATAACAAGCTGCCGTACACATTTTCAAAAGTTAATTTAACATGCGTTCGTCACGTTTTAAGACAACTTAAAAAAAAATAGTTGTACTGGACCTAGGTTTTTACCAAGTATTTCTCCAGACATCGAATTACCGCATTCTTTATGCGCTGTGTTTGCAGTAGTTGATCATCTTCGGTGTGAATGATTGCATTTTGTAAGGCTTGGGGACCAATTTTTAATGTAACAGGTGTTATGATAAATTAATAATCTTGATTTGGACTACATTTAACTCTGGTGACTTGCCTCAAACTTGTAGGTGGTGAAGTTGAAGCAAGTGGAACATACTTTGAATGAAAAAAGGATTCTGCAAGCGATAACTTTTCCATTCCTGGTGAACCTGGAATGGCATTTTAAGGTTGGTTGCTTGGTTAAGTAAATTTGTTTTCATGATCAATTAGCTGCAATGGAGTATACTTGTTTAATTTCATAAGACAAGTATTTATTCCATCACTAAATTAAATTTAAATCAGGTAAAGGTGCTTATTTTCAATGTTAGATATATTTGACTCAAGACAGATACATTCCTCATATATTCAACTATGTATATGTTAATACCATTGTGATAAGTATGTTGGCCAGATGAAACAAAGGCTCGTTGAAAATATAGGAGAATGTTGTTAATAGGACTCACTTTATGTGTGAACCTGGAAGACTTGAGTATGTCATTTGCTGTTCGAATGCACTCTTGACAATGATTATTTTCCTTAGAACTTGAAGGTTTTGTTTGTTATTCAGTACTGTATGGCATTGGCTTAATATCTTCACAGGCACTGGTTTATTTAGTTCACGAAATACTCCTGTTCTCCTTTGAGGCTTTATTGGTTGTTGCCTTAAAATTTGGTGCTTTCTTGTCATGTACAGTACTTTGTTACAGACCAGTCCTTTGTACCTTAAAACATTTTACTTAATAGAATGATGTGGTGGCATTACTTAAAACATGATTGGTTGTAGATAAAAAGAATGTTCACTGAAGCTTACACATTCACTATAATTAAGATTGGAAACACAATAATTAGCAGAAAATGCTTTTCAACATCTACATGATCGGCCTCATGCAAGCCTGCCTAGAAAGCAACATTTACTTGTAACCTTCTCAGAAGGCAATGTGTTGGGGAAAACTTGAAAATTTTACCTGAGCGATTGTTCTTTCCAATGTGTTCATGTTCAAGGGCCAACATAACCTTTCTGTATTTTGACTGTTCACGAGTAGTCTTCCATGCAACCTCTTGAGTGGCATTGAAGGCAACGGGATGAATTCATACACCAAGATGTCACAACTTTGTGATTGTTTCAGGATAATTCCAACTTGTACATGGTTCTGGAATTTGTTCTTGGTGGTGAGATGTTTTCTCATCTACGACGTATTGGAAGATTCAGGTAATATCCTAATATTTGTAGAATTAGTGAACTAAATCTGTAACTTCTATCCAGAATTACTTTGTCCATGCTGTTTCAAGGGTCAGAGAGTTAAAACCGGGCAAATAAGGTGTAATAGGGAGCTAAATTTCAATGGGCAGCACTGCTTTGGTTTAACTCACTTAGCCCTTACCACAAATATCACATCTTATCTTTACAGAAATTCTTTTTTTTTTTTATATCTTAAAAATAGAACCATTTCAATATGTCAAATTTGGTTTTAAAAAAATGGGTTGATTTTGAATGACCTATTCCAAAATTTTGTTTGTGAGAACTGAAAAAGTTTGCAAGGGACTGTTCCTTCTGGCACTGTGTATATAAAGACTGTAAAAGCAACTTTATTTTATTTTTATGCTATAAAGGGCTTCTCATGGGGTAAATATTACAGAAGTTTGGAAAACAGCAAAAAATACACATGGTTAGCTAAGGAAAGCTTTAATATCTCTAAATTTTCTAAATATCATAGAGATTTCTTAAATATCGCACAAATATCCAGGTAAGTTTGGAATGTCCGGAATGGACCATTTGTTTATTTTAGTGTCATCTTTTCTTCTGTTGCAGTGAAACACACTCAAGGTTTTACGCTTCACAAATTGTTTTGGCATTTGAGTATCTTCACTCTCTAGACCTTATATACAGGTAAAATAACAACATCTGGTCCAATATGATCCTGAATATTTTGAAGTGGCAATATTTGTTTCCTGTTATGTTCCTGTGCTGAAAGTTGTTAAGACATTTTTGTGGTTTTTCCATAACGTTTTATATTTTTTACTTTGCTGTGCATTTTGCATATTTGCTCTTTCATTTGATAGCTGAACACTTGTTTTTAACATGCTCTCTGTATGACTTATAATACTGTTGTTGATGACTCCCTATCCTTTCTTTGTCCGTTTAAAAAACATTTGTTTCATTTGGTTGAAACAGTTCTAAAACAACTCCCTTTTTATTTGCATTTTCTGGCATATTTGTGAGGACATCAAAAATTATTCAATATCAAATGAATTGCATCTTAGGATTAAGGGCTTGACTTTAAATTTTGAGATGTAGTTGTTAACCATTTAAATTATTTAAGACTTTTCAGACATTTAGGTCTGTCCTTCTGTTTTGATGTGACTTCTATCTTCTCCCACAGGGATCTAAAACCAGAGAATCTTCTCATTGACGAGAAAGGTTACTTAAAGGTAAATTAATTAGTAGCGAAGTTAATGTGATAATCCAATATTTGTGGCATAGCTTTTTCTCTCCTCTGCAGAACTGTTCTATGGAGGTTCATAGGATAATTTACTTATCATTCTGCAGGTAACAGATTTTGGGTTTGCCAAGAGAGTCAAAGGGAGAACGTGGACGCTTTGCGGCACTCCAGAATACCTAGCTCCTGAGATCATCCTCAGCAAGGTAAAGGCCTCATTACTTTCTTCAGGGTTCATTGGGATTCTGGAAAAAGTCCAGAAATTTTATTTGGAATTTTTCAGGGCTGGAAAGTCCTGATAACAGACTAAAGGTCCTGGAAAGTTCTGAAAATCTGCATAAATCAAGCAAGAAAATTTTCATAACTTACACTATAAGAAATGTAGGTTGACAGTAATGAGAATTGATCGTGAAGTCTTGGAAATGAAAGGTTTTAAGGTGAAATTTGGAGTCTTGGAAAAGTCTAAGTGCAGAAAAATCCTGGAAAATTTCTTGAAATTTGTGTCTGAAGAAGAGTACAAACCCTGTTTCTTCATTTTCATCATTGGTAAAGCAGGAATCTTTTCATTAGATTTTCCTTAGGTTGATCACTGTTGGAAGTCAAGAAGTCAACTCTGATGTTATAAAACTAATGAAATTCTATTTAATGTTGGTACACGTAACCCGTTGTGATGTTAAGCATTTGACCCCAAAGAGTGACTAGCTTGAATTTCTCCTCATGATATCACCCCCTAATCAAAGATGAAAGTCACAAGAATAAATGAAATGATCAACTATTATGAGAAGCTCTTGATTGTTCAGCAAATTCTCCCTCTCAACACTTAAGGAGATGTGCAGAGAACAGTATGGAGAATGTGCATACTGATGTTTGGGTGTAAAGGGTTAACCATTTTATTTTCTCTTCAGGGTTACAACAAGGCTGTAGATTGGTGGGCATTAGGTGTCCTTATCTATGAAATGGCAGCTGGTTACCCTCCTTTCTTTGCTGACCAGCCAATTCAGATCTATGAAAAGATTGTCTCTGGCAAGGTAATTGTGATGTAATGATTGAAATCTTTGCTTAGGTTCATGTATGTGGTGTTCAAGGAAGTGTAAGGGAGACTCTGATTTTTGTTAGCTTCAGACATCATAGTACTTCTGTTAATAATAATTGTAATCTTTTGTTTAACCCCCTTTGCATCCAGGTACGTTTCCCATCTCATTTCACAGCTGATCTGAAAGACTTGCTTCGAAATTTATTGCAAGTTGACCTAACAAAAAGATACGGGAATCTAAAGAATGGTGTGGGAGACATCCGTGGTCACAAGTGGTTCAGTTCCACAGACTGGATAGCTATCTATCAAAGAAAAGTAAGGAATACTACCAATATATAAAATAAATAAATAAATTATAAAATAGCCATTTTCCAATTTGCTTGAAGGTTTGTGCAAAATTCATCAATGCCTAGGAATATTTTTTATCTAAATGATTTCCATTCTAGCATGTGATCTGACAGAACAACAAAGCATCCACAATAACCTCACTGCCTACATACTTCTTTCTAACCTTGTTCAAGGTCTGTACTGTCAGATAGGGACCAAGTTTTACTTGCAATCAGATATATTGTAAAAAATCCAAGCCAAATAAACCAGGTTCAGTAACTTTCAGTAGGGAATGAGAAAATGAGATTAGGAATATATTTATTATATCTCTTTAATTCAAACAAACTGTTGAATTGAGTTGAATGTACTGTGAAATTACAGCCTACTGGATTGACCAATCCCAGTGCATGTGCAAACTGAGAGATATGATCATAATATTTCTTATTTGCCTTTTACTTTTTAACTTGTTGGCAGCCCCATTGTGCTAAGTAATTTTCTTGATGTCATGATGCAGGTTGAAGCCCCCTTTATTCCCAAGTGCAAAGGTCCAGGAGATCCAAGCAATTTTGACGATTATGAGGAAGAACCACTGCGCATCTCTACCTCTGAGAAGTGCGCAAAAGAATTTGCAGATTTCTGAAGAGTAATCCACCAACCTAAAAAAAAACTATTATGTACCTAAGTTATCCTAAAATGTACAGAACAGTGACTTTAATATATCGAACATTCTTGAAGAGGAACAGGCAAGCCCTCGACAGACAGACAGACAGACAGCATCTTGCATGTTGCCTTTTTTCTTATTGTTCCTTGTATTGTTCTAGATCTACTTCAGAAAACCCTTTTATTTATATAAAACAATTCAATTACAGTAGATTTCTGCATAAAGAGTTTTTTATAGCAGGCATGTTAAATGTTTTATTTGTAAATTGTGCAATCTTAAATTTGAAAATTCTTATTTCTTGACATGAGAGTTCTCTATATTATCCGATTGGAGTTCCATCGCTGTGTTCATGTTTTTATCTTAAAAAAAGATTTATGTGCCTGCAAAATTGTAAACATCTGCATAATTTGTTTCCTTGAACAGTTAGAAATTACCAGTAGTTTTGGATTATGCAAAGGTTCCCAATTCTAGAAAAGGATAAATTTATTTATTTGTGAGACATTCTCAGCAAAGAAATATCATTGCAATTTAGTTGTGTGTCTTCCAAAATGATTTCCATCACAAAGCAACCAGTGTTTGGATTCTATGTTCGGTAGTCACTGTATGTTTTTAATGTCCCTTGGTTGTTTCTTAAAGTTTGAAAAAATATATATATTCTAGAATGTTACACATGCCTTGTATGTTTATTTATAATCTAGAATTAACCCAGGGCAATAAAATTTAAAGAATAAAATGGAATTAGATGCAGTCGTCGTACTTTTTGTTTGCTTGTTTTTTATTTCGGACATTCTTGAATGAGCAATTTAGTTTTCCCTAATATTGGGCATTCCCAACTTCATGAAAGTAGCTCTGTTAGATATGGCCTTGTCTTCACGCGAGTGGTTTGAAGAAAACAAATTTGTGCAACATAACCCTTTGTATCAGGATCCTTAGTATTGACTTAACTGTTCACACTGCAGGGAGCTTGTGAGGTAGTATCTCCTGTTAATGTTATTCAAAGCTCTCAGTTTACTGGTAAATTTGCCTTTGAGCAATTTGGATCTAAAAAGTGAGTGACAAGTACTGGTATTCCTCAAACAAAGCTTCTTAGGTTTGGTGATCATTTCCTTTACTCTCTTGGTCTTAATGATAAAATAATGTTTGGTAATTTATATTGCACAGATATCAATATATCATTTTCAGCTGCACATCAACGATTTAGCAACGTTACTGTAAGGAGAAATTAGACACAAGTCCCTTTTTCTCTAAAAACATGCAAATTAATTTTGTCTGAGCAGAGTTTTCAGGCTACATTTATAATTTCTCTACTATGGCAGGTCTGGAAAAGATTATGAATTTAAGTGGCCAGATGAAAACAGGAGTAGGGAAAAGAGTGTTGTAGCTGGTAGGCAAGTCAGAATTTGGAGAAATATACAGAATTTAGAGAAATACAGGTGGCCCAACCCCCCTATGGAAAGAATTTTAGGCAGTCGTGGTTTGAATCTAATTGGTGAAAGGCAAACCTTAGGTTGTGTTTTCAAAATGGCAGTATTTAATCTGTTGAAACATGCAAGTTCCCACTAGTTTGTATCCTTTTCTTCTGTTTCTCTCAAAATAAGGATGGAGATCATTTGAGACTAAATGGATTCACTGTTCTTACTTTTGTAAAAGAGTCTTGATTACTTTGAACCAGGGAATATGCATGCTTTCATCTTTCAGTAGTGGCAAATGTAGTCACATGGCTGGGTGGAGCAAAAACATCTGAAACCAAGTCCAATTATAATTGTAAAGTTTATTAATCTTATTACAGCGAACAAACTGGCTTATTTACACAAGTATAATTACATTTCACTTTTGTTCAGAGGAAGCTGTTCCATTTCCACTAGGATCATGTCCATTTTCTGTAACTGTAGGTACAGGTTTTGGCGGCTCTTCTTCTTGCCGAGCTTTCTTCACTGGTACCTCTGTGTCCTGGGCACCAGAACTACTACTCTCTTCCTCTGGCTTCCTCTAGGAGATTCAAGCACACAGGAATGAATAGTTGAAACCAAACACAAACTTTAACTCCTATGAGCAACCAAGAGAGAATTTCTCCTCACAATATCAATAAAATACTGAGCAGACAAGTGATGAGAATAAAGAAAAACATCATTCAGGGGATTATTTGGTGGATTCAATACCTAATTCTTAAAACCAATGTCTTGAGAATTGTAGAGCAGACAGGCTTATTCTATTTTGCGAAACGAAATGGCATGAAACAAAACCAGGCAAGATATAATGAAACTAAAGGAATAATAAAGAAAGATGTTTTCTGTCATTTCATGAGTAGGGGACAAAGAAAAAGTTCCGAGTCCCCATGAGGAATCAAACCTCAGACCTTCGGATTCCGCACTCCAACGCTCTACCACTGAGCCACAGAGACTCCATGGGCAAGCATGGTCTATTACAAAGTTCATATAACACACATCCTGCATACTGCTAGGACCAGCAATGTTGATAGCATAATGGTATGATGCAGATAGGTAAAGATAACTTTCACAAGGATTTGGAGTAATCATCAATTCATAAGAAGGATTTTTTTTCTCATTTCCCAAAGTAGCTATTCCAGAAGAGTTACTATTTTGCAAAATCAACCATTTTCAACCTGCGGTGTTGCTTCATTTCACAAAAAACACATTCAAACATTACAAATTAGTATATCACCAAAGATTTTGACCTCCTTTTATTTCTTAAACCGTATTAAAATATATTTCACAAAAGAGTAATTTCAGGTGAGATACTAATTTGTGAAGTGGACTAGTAGTCTATTTTGCAAAATAGTAACTCTTCTTAAATTACTACTTTGCAAAATGAATAACGATCTTTGTTAATTACCCTATTGCAAAAAATATCTGCATTATTCATTTAGTTTTGTCATATCTTGCCTGGTTTTGTTTGTTTTGTTTTGCAAAATAGTATAAGCCTAGTAGACAGTAAGAAGAATTACTAATGGGATCTTGGGATTGAATTTGGTTACTTAGTTCACTTTGCACAATAATTCTCTGTAAGGAATTCCAAAAATACTCTTTGTCTTGGTTCTAAGCCTTGATTGAGGACAAATAAATTGTTTTCCTTGGCACAAGTCAACCCAGCATAGCTTCTGTTCCCACAGAAATAAATTGTCTCAGCAAACCATCAGGGACTGTTGACAAAATCACAGGCAAAACAATTGTGTACAAAATCTAAAAAATATCTCCATCCTGGTTTTAAGCCCTAATCCCTTAACCCCTTTGAGTGATTGGCTTCCAATTTCTCCTTACAGTAACAGCCCTGAATCCAAAGTAACCATTATGAGAAGAAATAAAGTGATGATCAATTTAAGAAGCTCCTGATTGTCTAACAAATTCTCCTTGTCAGTACCAAAGAAAATGTAAAGAGAACAGTATGGAGAATATAAATAATAGTGTTTAGGCATAAAGGGTGAATTGAGAGTAAATAAATTGTTTCCTTTGCATGGGACAACTTTTACTAAGCTCCTGTCCCCACAAAATAAATGGTACCTGGCAAACTATCAGGGAGAGTAAATAAAATCCCCACTAGATACCTGTGAAGGACTAGTGCCCCATCAAAAGGGAGAAGTGATGAAAAGGGGAACTCTGCTTGCACATCTTGGCCAGAGAAATAAATGGTACTTAGCTTCCTTTCAAGGACACTTGAAGGACTGGGTGCCCCATTAACCCTAGGAGTGACCAGAATCCAATTTCTCCCTTCACTACCATTCCTGAATCACACCTTAGGGTCATGAGAATAAAGAAAATGTTCACCAACTAAAGAAGCCCTAGACTGTTAAACAAATTCTCCTTGTCAGCACCTTGGGAAATGTAAGGAGAATATGTATACTGATGTTGGGATGTAAAGGATTAAAAAAGAGTTGCTCTGAAATGGGGAACTTAGCTTGCACATCTTGGCCTGAATGGCACATCAGCATGGCCCACACAGGCAACCTTGTCTCTCATTTATGATATCTTAAGAGTTATGTCAATATGTAATTTTAAGGAGCTTACCTTTCTGCGAACTTGTATGAGAGTAGCAGTTTGTTTAATTGGTATCTATAGAAATTAAAAACCACAATTGGAAAAGGAGCAGTTCAGTGAGAGTAAAACACCCTGCTCTCTTCTAAATGATTTCTTTTTGCATGCAATCCAACTTTCTAATTTAATACACTAACGTGAGTGAAAGGAAATGACGTTTTAACAACTTATTACATTATTGTAACTCAGAAAGTAAGGTAGGTTTAGACAGAATTTGCATTCTAAATAATACCCAATCTTAAAAATTTGGTAAACAAATAGAATGAAATGCTGTTACTTGGATCCAAACAGAACAGAAAGTGTTTTATAGAGAGAGAGTGAGAGCTCTAGAGATGGTTTCCACACATACTAGAAGAATCATTGCTTGGTTTTAGCTTAGTAATGATAACTTAGTTAAATCCTGACAGAACACAAATTTTTCTCAGAAAAAGAAAATGTGAAAGTTGAAAAAAAATTCTAGGCTATAAAAGGAAAAATTTGAGATGAGCAAATCTTGTTATTCTATTTCTTCCTCACCGTGGTTGCAGGAACATCTTTTGTACCACTTGTTCCAAAGCCCTCTGTTGTCTCTGAATCAGGCTTAATTATGGACATGAAGCAAAACAAAACAGTACATAAATGCATTAATCAGTTTTGGAACAAAATTCAAAGAGTTGAAAATTATAGCTTTTTCACATGGCCACAGCATAACACAACAAATTACCTCTTTTGGAGCTGAATTCATCATTTCTTGAGCATCATCCACCTTTAAAAAGACAACAGATAAATAATCACCACATTTCACTGCAAGTACATGTGGGTTATTTTAAAACCTCTAGGAGTGATACATATCTAATATCTCCCAACAGTATCACCCCATTAAGGTCATGAGAATAAGCAAAATGATCACAAACTCAAGAAACTCTTTAAATTTCTCCTTACAAATAAATATCTATACAATGCCAAGCAGACAAGTGATGAGAATAAAGAAAGTGGATTCAATACCAAATTCTCCCAACTGAAATCATAAGAATAGTATGGCAGACAGTAAAGAGAATTAGTGATGAGATCATGGGAGTGAAATATTTAAACTGACCCCCTGAATGACTTACTCTTGCTTTGATCTCAGGATACAAGTTCTGTAGCTCCTCAAGCTCTTTTCTATCCACAACACAAGGATCTTTATCTGATGCCTTTCCTTTTCCTTTGCTCTTTGACTCCCACTCTGCCACACGAGCCTCTAGCTTGGATGTTTTGAGTTTTATACATTCTAACGCTTTGCTAAAGAATTCATGTGCCTTAGAGTAATTTGGTTGTAAACTGTAAGCTAGTCCCATGCTGTAAGATCTTTGAGATCAGTTAAAGGAAGAAAATTTTCAACAAGATTTCTCAACAACGCAAGACACAGTTATGCATCATCCTTACTTTAATCATGACAAGTAAAAGAAATTTTCAAACTGGTACAGCAATCCTTTCACCTTTTGTTTTTTTAAGAACACCTAGTGATTTTAAGAAATAATAAGAGGTACTGCAGGCAAAACATTTTACCTGTTGCAGCCTGAAAAGTATAATGCTAATGGAATAAACAGAAGAATTACACATGTGATGATCTTTGATTATGTTATTCATGTAGTTATTATTCCAGACACACATCCCAATCAGCTTAACTTTCCTTTGGTGAAGAGGGAAGAAGACCATGTTCATAGCTTAATCAGTGGTATAAGAAAC